TCACCATATATTATAATCAGGTCAAGGACATTTGTTAAATCTAATGCTGAGCTTCCGGAAAACTTGACCAGTTGCTGTACGTTCGCCTCGCAATAGTAGAACATACCATTACTTGTCAGGAGTATTAATAGCAGCCTAGAAATTGTAGACGCTACTGACACTAAGCCAACAACTGATTGAGACAGGAATGCACTGCGATATGGAGGAAGCTACTTATTCCATGCTATATATAGAACTGATATAGCATGAACTTTTGTGTACATTTGCGATTAATTATTTATTTATTTTTTTTAAGAAACTTCATTGGGACAGCCCTAGTCAAGGCCCAAATTAAACATTAACCTGCTCCTCCGCAGTCATTAGGAGAATTTTATAACACTTCAATGGATCACTGAATGACTGCTAGAACTCATCCATTCAGAATTGCCGAGGTTATGATGTCGCAATGAAGTCACAGTTTAAGGTACAGCATCTGACGGGAGGAAGATACCGCTTGTAAAGTTTTCACCAGCCTACAAGTGTTGACCGTGAAATTACCATCTGCACTTTTACCAGTGTGTTTTAATGTGCTAGTAACTGTCTATATATTTGTTAGCTGGTGTTCTGATAATTACACCTGGCAGAAGCTGACATTAAACGGGGGCCTACCTTGGGGTCAGGATTAGATGCTGCAATTCCACCTGACCAGGGACTCCAATTTATTTTTCCCCGCCAAACCCAAAATTCACCTCTCATGTCACAATCCTCAAATCAGCTCCATGATGGCATCTCCCAGCCAAGACGGACACACACACACACACGGCATGGCAGTGAGCCACACGTGTTTGTATTAATTAAGCATGAAGTACTAAAACTGCCTTTCAACAAGGAATTTGCCGCCAACAAAACTATCTGCACAGATTAGTCAATCAGAATACATGGTGTGGATTCAACATCCCAATTCACAATTACTTTCATTCTGGCAAAAAACAAACAAACTGACAGCCGCTTTCTGAGGGGGTAAACTACTTTTATAGACAAAACATTATTGTGTGCAACTGTGTCTGGATTGTGGGTTCATGTATTATTCAGATGTTAGATATGTGTAATAGAGCTAATTTAGGACACGTTTACTATGACTGAAATCAGCCTGGTATAAAATCCAACGCAGTCTAAAAAAAGTTTCGGTACAGGAGGCCGACACTCAATCGGACTCAGACAGGGAAATGTCTGCTAACATTTTTGTCGAGAGGTGCAGAGCCCCACTGCGACATCAATTCTCCTGACATTTGGAAACTAAGTTGGCCTTCTGACAGCAGCATCAGGGGATGCCTGTCGCCATACCAACAATTATCTCAGCAGTAGCAACAAGTGCTCCCGTAGGGAATATTTGTGTCCCTTGTGAAGAGATCAGAGAAGAGCAACGGTGCTCTCTCTAAACATTCACAGAGCAAAGCAGAAGAAGCAATAGGTGGTGTAGGATTTGAAGAGAATCAGAGTTCAAAGTAGACGCTACTCATATACACAGAGCCAGCAACTTTTTAACCAATGAATCCCAACTTTATTACCAGAGGCATAATATATACCCTATGATCTTATATCAGCTATCAGATAACAAGGTATGGTAGCACATCCATCCTTTAGATTATGGCCACTTTGAACACATTAGCTAACACATTGTTGTGAGAGGTAGTCACACATTTCATGTGTTTAATAGGATAATTAAAGAAAAAGAAAGAATAAGCTGAGCTCCAGTGAGAAACAAAACAGTGCCTAGGCAAAAGCAAAACACAGCGCGCTTGTTTACATGCAACCACCTAGTATTTTCTAGGTTGTTTCAAAACTAGAACACTTTCTGGATCAGTAATGGTGAGCAGCTACATGCGCCTACAAACAACAGCTCTAATAACAATAACACCCGTTACTATAGCATGTTTTGGCAAAGGACAGTGTTTCCCCAGCTAACTGCAGCTCTGGCCGCTGTAGCAGGACAAGGCAGTTGTAAACACAAATAACAAAAGGAAGATCCTATTCCTACCTGTTGCTATAGTTTCAGTAGGCAGCCGTGCAGCAGCATCTACAAGAGGTGTCAATCTGTCAGACACTGGCAGCGCTGTGGAGCCTGTGCCTTTGCTTTATCCCGGCGCTGTGGCAACAACAGTAAACGAACACCGTGCCGACCATGGCTCCATTCATTAACCAACACGAGGCACAAGAAACATACAAGGTGCCCATGGCTACTAATGCATAAATATATATAGCCTTTCAAGTAATGGCTTGAAATGAGAAGAAAAAAGTGTGAGCACCCAATCCTAGCTTTCTACTTTCGGCTGATTTCAACACAACAAAACTGTTCTGGAGCCAGGGATCCTAGCAAGCTAACGCACAGTAAAACCAAAGCTTGTGTTCTATCCTCTCCACAGTCAGACACCCAGTGGCACAACTAGATTTTAAATTGGCCAAATCTGTTAAGCCAGTCACTGTGGAACAGACCTCTTCAACCCTACCTTTCAACACTCACAGCCACCCTGTTGCTGGATGGGCTGAATGCCAGCAGGCTACAGCATAGGTGTTCTTCTCCCCCAGTAACATCCTTTGTAAGTTGGCGTCGCGTTACTGTACACTGGACTCGCCTTTCACAGTTACGGTAACCAAGGCTGAGAACTTCCCTCCTTGTCACATCAACTTTTTTTAAATGCTGCCTGTAGACTAATGAACCACCCTTTGTTGGTGTAAAAATATCACGTAGGCATCCGTGTAGATTTAGGCCTACCACCACAAACGTCAACATTAACATACACCAAATTAATGCGCAAACAGAAAACACAGACGTCTAAAATACAATGATGTTACTTAACAGTGTGGATCAACTTTCAGTTCTAAGTTCCTTCAAAGACAAAAGATTCAGCAAAATTAAGGCAATTTTACACTTACATTTATTCATTTAGCTGTCGCTTTTATCCAAAGCAACTTACAATTGCTATATATGTCAGAGGTCGCACACCTCTGGAGCAACTAGGGGTTAAGTGTCTTGCTCAGGGACACACTGGTGGTATGTGTCTTTTCCACTGCTCCATCACCACTAGTAGTAGTAGAAGAAGAAGAAGAAGAAGAAGAAGAACAACAACAACAACAACAACAACAACAACTCAGCGACTGGATCCACAGGTACTGAAAGTCTGAGTTGACTTGAACAAGGGCTTCCCACTGAATAGGCCTGCTTTTAGCTGCAGGCAGTGCTCTAAGTGGAGAGAAACTATGCTATTTCTAGATTAGGCTGTGCATCATGTGTCAATTAGCTATAATATAAAGCAGGTCACCAGTATGAGTGACCTACTTCCACTATAAAATGTGAATAGAGCATAAACTCACAGTGCTACTCTGTAAGAGAAACCCTAGTCTTTTTATGAAACATGTGTTATTGTTGCCGGCATTACCCAAAGTGGCAGAATGATGTGATCTGCATAAAAACTGCAAGAATTGTAACAAGAATCCCTTCTGTTACTTCCACTATACATCCCCATGCCCTCTGTTTGTTATGATAACTGATTGCATTAAAGCAGCACATCTTCTGTTCTCTCTGCCAGCATGTTAGGTCACCTTGCAGTGACTCATAAGCAGGAATGTATAATTAGCTTACCTGTTACACCAGTTACTCATTGACTCATCCACCCAAGTTGGTAGGAGTGTTAGTAGCTATTCATTTTGTATTAGCTGCCTGCTTGAATGTATTACCAGAGGGGAGACTGAAACCACTGGAAGGTCATAAATTGAAAACTGAGAGGCATGGGAATGTGCTGCGGCCTTTAGTGTCACAGCTGCTCTAGTCAACTTCCTCCCCAAGTGCATTTCCTCATTTCACTTCAACCCACATGGCTAAATGGTTGGGTGCATTCTGTTTTAGGAAACCAAACCAAGCTAAATTATAGACCCTGAATTGACTGAGTCAAACCGGCTAGTTACCAATAATGACAGTAACGTTAGTTTCACAATAAACACGGGCACGCAAGACACCATAACAGTAAGTAATAATTGTGTTGTCGACAACTATATTCTGTTATTAAAGTGTCCGCTTGGCATATGGCTTAATAAATAAATGGGTCAACCATGCTCTGGGTCAAGATTCACAAAGGGCGGAAGGGAGCTAGCTCAGACGCCATCAACCTCTAGCAAAGCTTCTCGCGACTACCAACGCCTGCCGAGACCACAGTTAACCACACAGCTTCAAATGCTGGAAATCACAACCACTGGTTATATTTTCAACACCTAAAGAGTGGCGCTCTCGTGAATGCCATCCAAGACAACCGTCAACGTTACGCTAGATGTTGTCCAGGGGAAATGCTAACTTGCTTTTACTGTTACACCAAGACCTCCTTACAGCTATGGGTAATGTTACGTTAGCTCTTCTTTCATAAAATTGCGGACAACATTCAGTTTGGGCAATAACATGGCGTTATACGACACATAATGTGCTGTGCTTCAAAATAAAAATAAAGGCCACTGGCCGCAAACTGATACTGGCTGTCATAATGTTAGTGAGAGATTTTCTTATTATTATTATTCGAGGAAAAACCCTTAGCCGTAACAGCAAGCTAATGTAGCTACATTAGCTAGCAGGCTAGCTCAGCCCGTGACGTTTAGCAACCAGTCCAGATATACGATAAGAGCCCCTATGTTAGAGTCAACGTTAACTAACTTCAGGGTGGATAGCGCCGATTGGCAAAACAATAAGGGTTGATATCAATACACGTTAACACAGTTTTCAACAGTGTACGTAGCCTTCTAAGCGTTTGTTCTGCGAGCTAACGTTAACGTGGCTATACACTAGTTCGTCTACTCAGACAACCACACCGTAACTTACTTTTAGCTCCCTTGTGTTGTGCTAATCAGCTAACAATGTGTAAGTTAACCCAACTTTAAACCAGGCTCTTGCGGATCTGTGGTGTTGCAATTGTGTGCGATCAAATTAGAGACAAGTTCCAAGAGGCCAGTTTTAGTGAATTAGATTATTAGCTACTTACAAAGAGCAGGCTGAACATTGAAATCCCGTGACTACCCCGGAGAAAGTGGAGGGAGTGTAAAAACCGCTGCTAGGTCTCCTTTTTGTTCCTCTTCAATGTGGCAGCTTGAATTCTCATCGGAGGTCGGGAACTGCTGGGGAGGAGCCTCCTCCGTTTGTCGATACCTTCAGGGACTGTCGGGAATATGGACTGCAACGCAACCCAAATTAATGACAAGTCAACATAATGACTAACAACAGAGAAAGCTGTAATTTTCTATGGCACGCGAGTGCTTTGTAACTTTGAGAACGCACACAAAGTTAGAAGTAGATTAGTGAGCACACGCAATCCATATCTTTTAAAAGAAACAAATGAATACATTCTCTCAGCGTTTTCAACTACGCTGATGCGCGTTTCTCTTTATTATTTGGCAGCCTTAGTTACGAGCTATTTTACAAAGTCATATTTTTACTTACCATAGACTCACGCAAAGCATGGTTCAAACTTAACAAATCTCTGCCTTTTATCACTACTTTCAGAATTTCAGGACGAACCAAACAATGAATTGGTTTATCAAGAAAAATTATCATGAAAATAATCGTTGGTTGCCGCAATCCTATAGGCCTACAAAAAAGTTTCAAATTAGCGCCACCTCAACCAGCTACAACAGCAGAATCCTGCTTTTATGTTATTTCATGTGTAATAATAATCTTATGATATTATATATAATAGTAACAGTCACAGGGGCCAATTCTCTGCATTTAGTGGGCTACTTTTTGTTTTAATGCATTAAGTAGGCTACATTGTCCTGATAATACTCTCATACCTTTACTTAAGTCAAAATTGCAATGTATGACTTCTATTCGAGCATTTTCACGGCGTGATAAGTGATTTTACTTAAGTTGGGGATCTGAACACTTCCACCACCACTAACAATAGGTACATCAAACCAGCAGCGGTTATTTCCCTCTGCAAGAGCACGCCATTCGTATTCTCAAGGACTGACATTAGATGTGCGAGTTTACCGGGATCCCCCTGAACGCGGCATGGAGGGTCTGGCGTCAGTGCGACGTAAGAAGAATCCGAGTGCACGATGACAGCTCGCCATGGTGACGACAGTTCCAGAAAATAACCGCACAATTTTATCCCTGCCCTCACGGGATGTTTTGCAACATACATTTTATCTCATGTCTCTGTCCAATCACATTTCAAGTAGCTCGAATAGCCACTTGAGTTATGCATATTATAGGCCATGGAAAAGTCCGTAGGGCCTAAATCAAACGTTCATATATTTATTATAATAATGAGAGAGCATTAATCCCTATCCAGTACGATGAAGTTAGATATCTAGGTTAGATATCACAGGGCAAACTAAGACAAAGACTGATATTGTTTATAACCTATGTTTTCGTTTTAAGTTGACTCTTTTTGTGTTATTTGCACTGAATGGTCATTCCAACTAACTGACTAACACCATTCGTCATCTAAGTGATCTGAATTAACCAGCAAAACCCTATCAATCCAGCTCTGAGCTACTGGCAGATCAGACAAGGATCTTTCAAATGTAGAGCCCTGAATACTGTTTTTATTATAATTGTGTATCTCCCTCTAGTGTTCATTCCTTCACCTGCAACAAATTTTGAGAACAAATGTACCTTGCAGATTATCTTTAACCACAAAAATGAAAATCACTTACTACTCAGGGGCAGCTAATCACACAGATTTTGGAGATGTGACAGTGACGCCTATGGGCTCCAGTGATTTTTACCTTTTCTTTATAATGTCCTTGTGCAGATACAGTAGACAGAAATGGAATCCTGACACCAACATACAAGAAAGTTTTTATTGATGTGGTATCAATACAATCAAGTACTGTAGATTTTGTATAAGCAGACAAACATTTTCGATCAAAAGGAGTGCATTTTATACCCAAAATCTATTGCATAGAGTGCACGCAATAGCCCTGTATGACAAAAAAATCCTATAGGTTGATACATTGAACATTACACAAATAGAAAATAAAAGTCCAAAAATAATCCTTCACACGCTAGAATGCTAACTACATGGTGTAAATGCTCGTAACTCATCAATGCCGTTAAATACCATTTATACGTTCTAGGCTTCGGTGGTCGGTTTTGGCATTCCTATTAAATTATCATAAATGTATAAATACATCTTCATTAATTTCATGTGCAAATGGGAATGGCCGTTTGTATTTATTGACACCAAAACAAACAAATATCCCTTAAGAACCGAAGCAAGGCTTTTTAAAAATATCTTTTTTTGTTGTTTGTTTGTTTTTTAAAGAAAAACAGAAAACACAATTTGTGATTGAGATGGTACATGGATCTCACTGACACTTGTTTTGATTTTTCACACAGGGCAAACTCATCAAACAAGTGACATTGTCTATGAAAACATAAGGACGGAGAGTAACAGCCACATCTAACTCACATCACCGTTTCATATGTCCAAAAAACAGAAGGCGACAAAAGAAAAGGCAACATACAGTACATAACGAGCCTTGGTCGGTCTTGCAGACTCGCGTAACAATAATGATACATAGTAGTTGCAGGCGTGTTCATGTTATGAGACAGAAAGGGCAAGAGCACAAGTGCACTGTTTGCATTACATAGGTGTAAAATACTGATTAGACCTTACCCTAGCACTGCTTTTCCACAGCAACTTGAAGAGTTACCATTTATGTATAATGTAGTGGCACAGCATGGTCAATGATTTATACAAACTATTGAAAATCAGTCAAACAGTATACATTCATTCTGATGGCAAAGCTCAATATTTGGCACAATCCTCCTGCACCTTGACATTCCTTAATCAAGGTGTAAGGTAGTCCTAAATTCAGTGTAATGATAGCATTTGGGCGGCATAAGTTAGATTGGAATCCTGACTGAGTTGAGGCGTTTTAAGGCACAGAGTCGGTAAGCACAAACTTTTCTTAAATTTAAACCTATTTATGTCCTCTCTTCTGTCACTGCAACCATTGATAAAAGACCTTGTACACTTCACCAGAATGTCTTTTTTTTGTTCATGACTTGGTACAACACAAACATGTTTGCGCACCATTGTGCCACTTATTGGACCGATATGCAAAATGCTCATATCAAAATGAGTATTCATTTTGTTCAGTGTTAAATGTATGTCTAGTTCTCATTATGTCGATTAAATTTCAGGCTTCTGTCTCCCATAATTTATTCATTACATTCATCGTTTACCCATTTTATAACTTGTTCCCTTACTCTTTTTTTTTTAAACCCAGGGGAGGCCTAAACATTTTGAAGTATTTTCTTTTTGTGGAACATTGACAGGACTGTAAGCTTTTCCTAAGGTTTTGTAACTTCAGCAAGTTTGTTATTATCTTGGCTGAGGTGTTTAAGACCTGAACACATGCACACACACACACGCACACACACACACACACACATGTTGACACAATGACATAAGGAGTGCATCCTTATGTCTACTAACTATATTGCCAAACGTTTTAGGACACCCCTCCGAAGCATTGAATTCAGGTGTTCCAATCATTTCCATGGTCACGGGTGTATAAAATCAAGCACCTAGGCATGCAGACTGTTTTAACAAACATTTGTGAAAGAATGGGTCGCTCTCAGGGGCTCAATGAATTCAAGCGTGGTACCGTGATAGGTACCCACCTGTGCAGTCCATTCGTGAAATTTCCTCACATGAATTAGAGTGGAGACTGCGAACCAGGCCTTCTTGTCCAACATCTGTGATTGACCTCACAAACGCGCTTCTAGAAGAATCAATCAAAAATTCCCATGAACACACTCCTAAACCTTGTGGACAGCCTTCCCAGAAGAGTTGAAGCTGCTATAGCTGCAAAGGGTGGGCCAACTCCATATTAAACCCTACTGATTAAGAATGGGATGTCATAACCCTTCATGTGCATGTAAAGGCAGGCGACCCAAAACATTTGGCAATATAGTTTAGAACATACAAGCTCATGCATACACACATAATGTATCTGATTATTATGCCTCATCCAACACAAATTAGTACATACACAGCTCTGACCACTGGCCCACTATCACTATCCACTATCTAAGAAATCTAGTAGGAGTTTGTTAAATATTACATAACCTGCATTTCAGTTGGTCCCTTCACTTATTCGTGGACTAAATGCAGATCAATTCTCAATGCCAGCTGTATGCTTTGACATGATTCAGTTCCAAAACATCTTGTCCTTGTAGCCACGGATTTTCCCCAAAGCAAAACAATAATTCAGCTATTTTTGACACACTGGTTTGGGAATTAATAGAACGTCTTTTCAATCAGACCTACAAAGGATTCAAAATTGCTCAGCGACAAGTCACATAGAAGCATTTCTTATTTGTCATCCAATTGCCTCCCTATTTTCTTAAACAGGAACAAGTTTACAGCACCTTCACAGATTTTGCAACATGTGGTCAGAATTGGGCTTTCATAGACTGGCAGTACAGATTGCTCACTTGGAATATTAATGTGATCCTGATTTATTAATAGATCGTATACCATTTGAAAGCAGTGATGTCATGGTCACAGCATCTGAAGAGGATGCCTGTGATATAGGCATGAGATGTGCAGTGCAAATGGGAAAAGTCAGATCAATACAAGAAAATGGGCCATCAATCCAGCTATAGTTTCCTTAATGTCCATTTCGCAGTTGCTCTCAGTATCTATTCTACGGAATGTAAACATTGACTGTATGCATACATATCGTTCTCAATTAATATAGTCCTGAAAGTTAAAAAGGCATTGTTCATGCATGATGGTGTTGATCCTCTTTAAAAGGGCAGTTCAATTTTTTTAATTCTAATACTGCGAGGTCCTATTTATCCTTGGATTACATTTCTGGACATTTCAATAAATTATAAGAAAAACAAAGATCCATCATTTTAAATGGTCAGCTACTAAATTCAGAAAGAAGCAGAGAAATACGCACCAAATAGATGCCTATGCCAACTAACTTTCAAAAGATATATCTCACTCTAAAAACAAACAAAAAAATCCCATTAATAATTCAAACATAGCAATTGTTTAGAGTACCCAAAAGGTAAAACAAAACAAATGTGAAAAGTTATGGTATTACAGCACCAAATGCCTTGTCTTGCTATAGTTTGTCTACATTATCTATTTTGTGTTGTTGCTCTTGTA